GATGCCTAATGATATTAGGAGGTTCTGGGCTTCCTGAAAATTTAAGTTAGAACAATAATCTGCCAGAAATGTAGACCTGAAATTTACCTGCAATTCTAAGACTCTTTGATTCCACTGCTAAAGTTTATCACAAATCCGTAAACATCATAGGTTACTCAATCTTAATAACAGGTTTTGACAGATTACCCAACTGACCCAAGGCAAACTGGTGCTGTGGGTCACTGCTCACCTTTATGATGTTGGCACAGAACCGCTCCCAAAATGACAACTCTCCTTCCTTGATCCATGACATAGTTCTTTCCCCAGCAGAAGCAGCACAGGACAATTAGACACCAGCCAGACAACCTTGTATAAACAAGAAAGAGAATTAGAGGTCACCAGGGCCTGCAAACAACGATGGCTGACTTGCAGAGATTCACCAAAACTGTAGGGAGCAGCCAGCATTCGAATCCAAACACAATTGTCTAAGCCTCTAGTCTTTCACTTCCCATAGTTTATAAGCCAATGGGATCTTTAGGGCAGAGGCCATGCCTTGGTTCTGCTTACTTGGTGGACCCCGCTCCCATCCCCTTTCCCTCAGTATATGCACTGACTTTTTCTGAACATCTAAGCTGGCTTCCTGCCATATCGTAGTGCCTACATCCTGATCCTTCACCGCTTCTTCCTGCTCTATCTTCACCCATTTCGGCCCTCCGGGTCACTAACCCCTTCAGTTGTAGCACCCGTTACCTCCTACCTCAGAGGTCTCTCAATTATTTACTCCCTCACTTGTCTCTTCCACTGTCCCCTTTGTCTCTCTCACAGCTGCCTCTCGCTCAGTCATCTCTCTCCTCCTGGTTCACACCTTGAACCCAGCACCTTGACAGGCTCCTCCAGCACCTTGCAACCGCTCCAGCGCGCCGACACTTCTTCACGACGTGGCGCTGGAAGAACACGTCATCGCTGGGCGCTGTGACACGCCCCCTCACCAAATGGGCAGGGCCGGGTTTGCGCCTGCGCACTCAGAGGAGTGGCGCGCCAGAGTGGCGCAAGCATTCTGGGAGGTTCGCTTTCCCGGGTTGGGGCGGGGCGGAGCAAGAGAACAAGGGGAAAGCATGTGACTGGGTGTGGCGGGCGTCAGGGTTCTGAGCCACGTGCTGGGGACCCGGCGGGGGAAGGCGGTGTCCAGACCACCTGGGAGAGCCAAGAAGTTTGTAGACCGTCCGGCATGTTAGGTTACAGGGCAAGAGTTCGGGGAACTCCTCAGAAATGCAGGGATTTCTCTCAGCTGCTGGTGGCAGTTTAGGACTGTTGAGAAAAGGGGTAGGGGAGCGTCTCCTAGCCAGAAGTCCGAAGAACTGGCTTTAGCACTCTGGAGCAAGTCTTAAAAATTCTGGTTTTATACTGTTTTGTTTTATTTAGAGGATTTAATCGTTAGCGAATTTCTTAGCCCTAGTCAGTCTCACAGAGGCATTTAATACCAGTATTTTGTGTTGACTTAAAGCACTCAAGATTTTAGGATTTTCATTCTCAGGACATACCCAAAGAACTCAAAAGGGTTAAGGCCAGAAAGAACTCTAAGAATGACTTCTAAAATATCAGGAAGACCTGACAGAAAAATCAGAGGCATTCGTTCTGTACCAAACCTTTAAGGAAAAGGGTTGCAGGAGTTTGAGTCACAAAAGAAATTGGGAGTTTAGTTTTCTCAACATTAAGAAATATAATTGCCATTTTCAAAGAACCTTCTTGTAGTTTCTTACTTTGGGTTGCAGCCTCATCAAGGAAACAAGGCAAAGAAGAGATACTGCTGTGGTGACCCGCAATTCATTGGGTTTTCCACTTTCTGATGAAAGGGCTACTTTTGACAGAGTAAACCGTCAGAGAAAGCCCTCTGGAGGTGAGTAACCCACCCACGAATAGCCTTAAGCTTTTCCATCCTTTCTGCTTTGCATCTGGGTAAGTTTCTGCCTAGCTGATAACTTCAATTTTGCAGGAAAACCATTTACTGAAGCCCAGTATTAGTTTGCTACTTTTAGCAGCTTCCTTGGTCAGCTTTTGACTTTTGGTATGAAGTCCTTGGAATGATGTATGAAACTTGGCCTTGTTCTGTTAATGTTTCGTTGCCCCTTGTGTAACAATTAGTATGCCTCCAATTAAGTCTTTTTTAAACCCTCCTTCCCTTAGGGGGGGCTAGGTGTTTAAAAATACAATGAATGTTCATTAGAAGGCTAGCAAACTTGGGTTCAAACAAAATGTTAACATGTGTTTATAGCTAGTCGGTATACCTCCACTGGCCTCAATTTCCCCGGTTCCACATATTTCCTTCCCTGGGTTGCTGCACGGGGTTAATTAATTAAGATTTGTAAAGAGCTTTGAAGAGCAGGGGACAAAGTATTATTAGGGTCTCATGCCCCAAACTATGGCCCCATCCTTTCATCCCAGCCAGTGGCACAGGCAACCCCATTCTTATGCATGCCAAGCCTTTAATCCCCTCTTGAATGTGGCAGCTTCCAAGGAAAGGACAAGAGGCCTTAACTAGAAACAAAAATCCACTATAATGAGGTACTAAAAGAACTAAACTCTCAAAATTCACTCCTGACAAAATGGCTGAATAGGAAACTTAATGGTTCTTCTGTAACTTCTGAGTCCCAATCCAAGAAGGTGGGAATAATGGGGGGAGGAGAGCACCCTAAATATCGAACAAGGAGATGACAGTTTCAGTACCAATAAGTCTTTATTCATTGTATTTTCCCAGGGAAAGAGAAGGGAAGGGGAAAAGGGTCAGCATATGTGTTACAAAATGATAGCAAATGGGAAAGGAAGTACCTGGCACAGCAAAATCAACCATCAAATAAACACTCTCCAGATGGGGTCGCCAAAGCCCAGGGGGCTTAGTCTCCCACAGTTCAGGAATGAGGGGAATGGGCGAGGGAAAGAACAGACAGGTACATGCTTTCCTACCCTCCCTCCCTCCCCATAAATTCAAGATTTCACACAAAGCTTTGGTTTCTAGCAGTAAACATGGAGTTACATTCGTCCGTCTCCTATTAAACAATCTTGTGGCCACTTTGACATAAGTTTCTTACACCTGCATAAAAGTTCCTGAGTGACTTGGATATACATTCATCTTCCCTTTCTTGGTCTCCCGACCCCACTTTCTGCATGGAAAGCCCCCTCATTGCTTCTCTCTACCCTAGGATTAGAGATTAAAGTAGGTTTAATCCATTCTAAAGACAGCAGTATGTTTATTTGGCATGAATCACATCAAGGAACGGTCTTGACTCAGAAGATTGGGAACAAGGGATGGACAGTTCTTAGCTTCTTCAGGATTTTTGCACAGATCATTCAAGAATTGCAGACACCCCACAAATTAAATGTATAGGCATATGGGCAATTTTCTAGGGGATGTAGTGAAGGGGGAAATAGAGGAAGGGGTAGGAATCTAGTTTTTAGGACGGGAGTTCTTGTTCAAAATAGGAAATAGAGGAAGGGGAACACAAAAGAAAGTGTGCTTCAAGACCCCTCCTTCAAGAAGAGGGGCCCCCAAGCTTATGTTTCAGATCTTTTTGCCTGGTGCAGAACCTTTTGTCAAAGATGCTTTGGCTATTTTTCTCAATATAAAAAGAAGTTTGTAAACAATAAAACCCCAAAGAACATGGAGAAGACCACATATTATATTTACACAAACTAGGCCACCTAGCAATCACCAAATCAGCTACTTGTGAAGTCCTACAAAGCCCAGACAAATACAATAACTAGGGGGGGCAGCAATTGGGGGAGACAAGAACCCAGGATCAGACACACATCACCCAATGCGTTCTATTGCATTTGCCCCGTTACAACACAGTGAGGTAGGTTTGCAGTGATCTCACAGCATGTAAACGAAACCCCCTTTTCTCCTTTAGTTACCATGACACTAATCACCGCTGCAGCAGGGCAGAACACTGGCTCTGGGAATCACAAAGAAGCCATCACTGATGGTCTCTCTAGAAGCCAAAGAGGAAAAGCCCAAAATTGTTAAAGGTTAAGGATTTTGTCTTTGCTTCATAATATCCATCCCTGGGCAGCTCAAGATGGGTACAGAGGTACCGTTCTTAAAACCTATCCTTACCAACTCACATTTTTCTTCCCCAAAAACACACACATACACCCTGTTGTGCATGGTAGGCCTAGCCCAATCCAGTGAAGGATGGATCTGGTATGTAAATTGAGTAACATGCCTGGGATTAGAGGTCTGGAACAGGAATCCTTTATCACATATACAGATGACCTTTGCCTAATCTTGGCTTCCCCTCTCTGCACCTTTTACCTGGCCTAGCCTCTCCTAACCTCTGTGCACCACATTTTCCTGTTCAGACCAATTTCCAATCTTTCAGTACAAGGAGACCAAATCATGAGGTAACCCAGTTAAAACTTAGTCTCCCATGAAACATTGAAGATGGAGGGGTTTCAAGAGGACACTATGGCAGAAAAGCCAGCTCTAATTGGCAAAATGAGGTAGTTCAATAGGCTATACACTCCATATAGTTGTTCTCTCTGGTGATACAGCAACAAAAAATATTCCTGCTGTGCAGACCCGGAGCTGCTGCCAACTTATCCCTGAGATTGCTCACGTACCTGAGAACACAGTGCAGGAATGAGGGCCTTAGATTAAAATACACAAAAATACAAAACCAGAATATTTATATTACGAAAAAAAGTTAAAATGCACAAGATACGTCATTCGCACACAACTAGTGCAGTTGGCATCCTGGAGAAAGTGGGACCCAAGGTATAGTCATCCAAGGGAGCAAATAAATAAAATTGTATTGGCCCAGAATGGGGTGGGAGTGAGCTTTGAAGCAGCAGGTCTGCAGCTATTACCTCAACCACCCCTTTTGCCTATCATCACAACCCGCTGCTTGGGACAGTTCTCAGCACGCCATCCCAAGAGTGGGTTATGAGAAGACAAAATGTGGAAAACCCTGCCTTACCCCTGAGATACTCCCTCCCACAGAATGTAGTGGCTTGTGGGCTGGGTCCATCAATCTTGTCTCATGCTGAATCTTTTCACTCTGGCATGGGAAATATTATTCCATATCCTTCTTTAAGAGTGAAACAACTTCCCTATATCCAGGCTGCTTTCAAAAGCTGGAGATTCTTGGGGTGGAGACTCAGATAACTATCATGCAGGGAGGGGCTACCCCTAAAGCCCTCACATGCATTTGGATAGAGCATAATTGGAGTTCCTTTGCCTCACCCCTTCCCCCCACCAAGAGGGAAGAGGGGGTGATGCTGTGGACCCCGGCCTGAGATACATGGCAGTGTTAGCTGCCCCCTACCCACCCTGTCCCCACTTTCTCCATTCTGCCGATTGATGCCTGCTCCTCAAAACTTCCTGATCTCAAAATGATAGCCCCCACCCACTGTGGCTCAATTCTGGGCCTCTGGCAGCATGGCAGGGCTATGGATCTCTTCTTCCTCCTCCCGAAAGTAGGCTGGCTTTCCCTGTGAGCTGGGAGCTTGCTGGGCCTTCAATGGACACGAGGCCACCATATGGTTGATACTCTGGCAGAAGTGGCACTTCTTGGGCTGGGGTGGCAGTTTGCATTCCTTGGCATGATGGTCTAGACCTCCACAGTTGTAGCACCTAGTACCAAGCAAGATGGTAAAGTTGAGAGAGTGAGAAGAAGCCAGAGGCCTTCTTCTGAGTGAGGACACCTGGGTTCTGGTCCAGGTTGTTACTATACCCCCTTCCCTTCCTGGAGACTGTTTTCCCACTTACAAAAGGAGGAATATGACTAGATACCTAAGTCCTTTCCAAATCTAGTATTGTCCAGATGAGATCTTCAGAGTCACATCAACTAGAACATACTAAGATCAAACCAATCAACCATTAGGAGACTTGGTGAAGAAGAAACGTGTATAGATACACCACCCTGTCCCCACCACTTACACATCTATGGTCTCCTTTAGTTCTAAAATAATCATGTGAGATTAGTGTCACGATTCCCATTTAGCAATTGAGGCTAGAACTCACAGAACAACAAAATTACTCGTCAAGTAAAAGAGCCAGGTCATGAAGTACCCTCCTCCCATACTGCCCCCTCTTCACTGCCCACATCTACAGCAGGTTCCCCAACCATCTAGATGTTGCCCAGGGACCAGGCTTTATTTTATCTTTGGCAGTCTGGTCCAAGAAAGGGGCAAGATTGGGAGAGCTCTCCTTATCCTCAGCATGTCCCTACAGACCCACTGAAGCCACCTTCCAGTCCATACCTGTCTCCCTTTGATCTGCGCTTCTGCATGTTCTTCCCTTTGGGCCGCCTCTCACTCCCAATACAGAACACCCCACCAGGACCGGTGACTCGGATAGATTCCAGGCCCTTGGCAGACTTCTTAAAGGTGAACTCCACAGCCTCACCCTCCTTCAGGCTCCTGAAGCCCTCCATGTGAAGCTTACTCTGGAGGAGGGAAACATGGTAGATTTTAATGATAGTCTCCATTATTACACCCAGAACAAAAAACTGCATACACATACTCCTCTAAGGTTGAAAGAACAAGTGTATAATACTTCCATTTCATCAGTAAAGACACTGTGACTCAAAGAGTCGCCACAATTAAGAACAATCTCTATATAAACAGATGCCATAACATTTTTTGTAGCTGGTCTCATGTAAAGTTCTAAGTAGAACAGAAGGGAAATTCTTAAACATAGCATTTGTATGAAATCAACAAATGTAAAATTGTAAAATATAAAGTAACAGGCCTATACACTTAAAAAAAGTCAATCATGAAAGACAAACCCCAAAGAAGTAAAGAAACTGAATAATTAAAAAAAGAGCATGATTCCGGGACTGGATTCTGAAACAGGAAAAGAACACTAGGACAGCTGATAAAATTTGCATATGAAATGTAGATAAATGTGTCAGTGTTAAATTCCCTGATTTTGATCTTTGTACTGAGATAAGATAAGAGAATGGCCCTGTTTCAGAAAATACATGCTGAAATATTTAGAGATAAAGGTGCTTGATGTTTAAGTTTATCTGTACAAAGGAAAATAGTAAAGCAAATGGGACAAAATGTTAAGAACTGATGAATTTGGGTAAAGGTTATATGGGAGTCTTTAGTACTGTTCTTGCAACGCTTTCCCAGGCTTGAAATTATATCAAAATAATGTTGCTGAAAGTTGAAGGAAGAAGACACTGACCGAAGCAGACAGATCAGTAGATTAGAATGAAAGTCTACCGGGAGATTGAAGAATAAGTGAAGTCAACAGGTGAGGAAAACAACTTCATAAATATTATTGATAAAACCAGTTATTCACTTGGAAATGAAACCAGAATCCTACACTTTATATCATATGTATGCAAAATAAATTTCAGAGCTATATCTAAATATTAAGAGGAAAAAACTGAGACAGTTTTTTAATTTTAAGACATAATTAAGCTGACAAAACTACAAAAAGCTACTTTAAGTTAGTAAGAAAAAAGAATCACAGAATATAAGTAGATAATTTACAGGAGGACTTAGCATGACACATGTTCAATATCTTACTGGTTCAAAAAACACGAGAAGACAAAAATACCATGCAGCCGTTAAAAAGAATGTCAGGTCACTGTTTTTGCTCACTGCTGTGTTGATACCTAAATCATGCCTAGCAGATTTTGGATGAATTAATGAACAAGGAGGTAGATTTTAATTATTTAACTTGGGAAGATGATCAAATATTGTTAAAGGAAAAGATACCGAATAATGTGTGGCTTGATCTCACTAAAACACTGCAGGTTTGAACCAAAATTAAAAAAAAAAAAGAATTATTCACAGAGCTAGTTGAGTGGTAAAACCAGGTTCAGAAGAACCCAGGGTTCCGACTTAACAGTTTGTAGCCCATTTCACCCTGCTACTAACTGCATCAACACGTTAGTGGAGTGAGGGCCTCTCCCAGACCCTGCCCAGAACAGACTTCATTATAGATAACTTCCAAAACATCCAGAGTGTGTCAAATATGTCAACAAGGTGTGGTCATCACAGAAAATGGCATTCAGAAGCAGGAGGGATCAAGGTGCATCTAGTCCTGGCTCGAGGCAATTTATGCTATTGGGGGTTGAAGGGGTGGAGGCGTTGGATATTTCAAACTGGGACTTAGGTGAAACATGCTCTTTAACCAGATGGGTTCCCCAATTCCTCAGTCCTTTACATCTTTGTTTTAATTTAGATGATATTACTTAATACAAAACTTCCATCGAGGTAACCGGTTAAGAGCAAAGGCTCAGGTGTCAGATACATCCTGGTTAACAAAACGCTGGTTCTACCAATTTTTGGCTTCAGGTGTGACCTTGGTCACTCACCCACCTCTGGGCCTCAGATCCTTCAGAGAATGGTTTAACAGTAGCCGTCTACCTGAGGTTTTAATGAAGAATATGTGGGCAAGAAAACATCAAGAATGTATGCTCAGTAAATATTTCATGTATTATCATCTGTAGCTTTTGTCCACCAATTCCATCAATGAAATATCCTGAAGGTTAGGGATCCTTTCCTCTCTTACTCCCACAGGAACACGGGATGTGGTGACTTTCCCTACCAATCTTGATGTTGGGGAAGGGGTAGAGAATTAAAGCAGAAAATAAAAACATTGCAGAAAGCTGAAAGGCTCATTCCCCCTCATGGTTGCATAATAACCACCCTGAATTTGATGTTAAATCTGACTTGTCTTATTGAGCTGGGACAAGCCAGTGAGTCAGGAGGTGCTGGAGGAGCCAGACCAAGAGCATTCTTGACCCAGGCAAACCCAGCTTCTCTCATTTACCTGGTGGGCTCTTAGGCTGGAACACTCCCAGTTCTCCCTCTGATTTAGAAGGCAGATAAGTGATTAAGAGCAAGAATTTGGAGTCTGACAGCCTCTCCCTGCTATATGTGCTAACCTACAAAATGGAGTAAATACTGATTTTATGGTGGTGCTGTGAGGTTTTATGCATGAAAAGTAGTTAACACATAGCCTGCCACACATAAATCCTGAGTGGCAATTACCATCAACTTCTTCAGACTGGATGAGGGTGGGGTAACAGTGAGAAAAAAGTGTCAAGAGACTTGGAATTTTAACTCTGGTGTTTATCACTTAACTAGCAGTGGAAAATCAGAAAAATATCCCCTCTTTGATCTCCAGTTTACCGAGGACAACACTTTCCTCCATCTACACCTCCCAGGCTTACTGTAAGAACAAGAGGATAATATAAATGGGGACATATGTAATTGACTAGTTCTTTCCGCTCACCCACTCACTGGATCACTGGAGAATTGGAGATCTGCTCAAGATTTTCAAAGAGTAAAAGAAAACAAAGCAAAACAAAACAAAACACCCTGCAGGCACCTCACCATGACCAGTCAAGATTTAGACTGGTGGTCTCCAAGGGTGGCTCCCAGCCCCCCTACCCCGCCCCTTTCTAAAACACATACTTTGAATTCCTCTCTTATCAGATAGGTAATCAGCGTGCAGTCCCACTGAGCCTGCCTCACAGGGCCTGCATCAGAAAGGAGCCTGAAATTCTTGCTACCACCCCCACCCCACCCCCAACCACACACAAAGCAGGACCCAAACCCCGCCCCCTCCATCCCCTCCAAAAAAGAAAAGACCTAAGGGGGAGGGGCAAGGCTTGAGCTCCCCCAATAGAGCCCAGCCCTGGGAAACAAAGAGTTGACACTGGTTGGTTCTGGTGGTCAGATTCCTAGAGTTCCAGAGGCTGCAGATCCCCCCTGACTCCCCCCACCCTACACTCACCACATTCATCAGTTCCTTCCTTCCTCTCCATGTAGGGGTTATGGTCACGGTAAGAGAAATGGATACAGAGACACCTTTCTTCCCTAGTCAAGCTTGCTGTTCTGCCAGTCACCACCAGCAGCCATCTTTCCTTCTGACCTGCACTCCCACCCTTCCAGGGATAGAACTAAACAGGATTCACCCTCCCCTCTGTTGCCTTCAGTCAAATCTTTTACTCAGGGACCTGAAGTAAAATATTTGACTTTTTCAGATAAATTATATTAAAGGTGAGAGGGAGGCAGGCCTCTGAACTTCCTTTCCCCATTTGTTCAAGATAGGAAATAGGAAGGTGGGCAGCCTGTAGGGGGCAAGAAGGGAAGGTAGCGGAATACAGTTACAGGAGGCATTTCTTTACCCTTTTTTTAGTTGGCAGGGAGGCAGGGAAGGGCTCAGGTCTTCTGCTTTCCTAAGACCTCACCACTGCCTAATCTAATCTTCCCCTAACATCAAGTACCCCATCCCAGCATCAACTTCTGTTTATATAAGTTTAGTGATGGAAAAGACCTTAAGGGTGACTCAGGGAATGTTCAGTAAAAAGCCCACAAAATCCTGAGTTCCCCTCAACTTGTTCTATAAAATTTGGATAAGTTCTGGTTATAGAATCATTTGTAAGAGCAAGGGATCAGACTTAATCTTAACCATCTAGATCTAACATTGCCCATATTTAGTCACATTGCTCCTTCTGACAATAAGTGATAGTCAGGATTTCAGGGCACTCCCTTTGTTCACAAGGATTGAGGCCTGGGTTTTTGTCTTTTAATAGCCAGGGCCATTCCAGCTCGAGACTACCTAGTGCATGTCTACACCCCCAGTTCTAGGTGCCTAGCAGTGCACAAACATTTGTAGACTAATCTAAGTGTACTCAAAACTGCTAATATTTATTAATGCTTACTATAGGCTAAGAAGCAGTGTTTTAAGCACTATACATGTTGTTAACACCTCACACCGAGCCTATAAAGTAGGCCTTATTGTGACTCCTGTGTTACAGCTGAGGTCATGGAGGCAGAGTGGTTAAACCCTTGCCCAAATTCAGTGTGAGAGCACCAGGCTGATTTCAACTAGCCTGACTATGTCCAACACTATGCAGTAAGACGCAAGATGCACAGACGCATAGACATTTTACAACTTTTGAATAGCTACATTTAAAAAGTAAAATGCAGCTGATGAATAGATGAAAGTAATTTTAATGACTTAATCCCAAGATGTCCTCACAGTCCAACCTAAGCTTTATACCTGAAGGTGGGGTTTGGTAGGGGCTAGGAAACCAACCGGTTCTGCCAGAAACAGTTTATTTTTATAGTGTGTGTCAGGAAGGGTGGGGAAAGAGATCTGTCTAGAACCAAAGGCTACCAGCAGACAACTCCCCCATCACCTTTGCTAAGACACAGTCAGGACCACCAGCTCCTGCCTGGAGTTCTCCACCAGGTGGTGCTGCTCATCAGCCTGTCTGCACAAAGGCAGTCAGAGGAAGCCAGGAGCAGGAGAGGAAGGAGCTGCCTGGTTCTCAACTGTGAGCACAAGTATTCGCTGATCTTCACAGCTCTTCTCTGTCCTTAGGAAGATGGAGTTGCAAGGCGGCTGAACTCTAAAGATGAGCCACCTCAGGGTAGGTCCCTATAAAGTTGGGGTGTTCATTCCTCACCCCACCCACCCAAAGAGTGAAGAAAGGACCCTGGAGTTTTAAGCCAGAAACCCAGTTTTTCTGCTCTGTTGACAAAAGCCATTTACTCTCTTTTCCAGTTTGAATTAAGTAACTCCAATCTGAGATAATTTAAAATTCATATGTACTAATTACGTTCTATTCTAGAAAGTTTTGTCCTTCCCCACCTCCTTTGACCTCCCAGATTTAACACTGATAGTAATTGCTACTCATGCCTGCAGGAAGAAGGGAGGGGTGATTTGCCTAGGGCTGTTTTTCAAAAAAAAACAACACTGAATTCCAATAGGCTGAGGAGTATGACAGTTTGACTAGGAAGGTTCCAGAAACATTGCCATGGGGAAAGTCACTGAAAACCACTTATATGGCAAGCAGTAGTGTCACCAAAGTTTCTCACAGTAGAAGCTTTGCTCAGGATGGTGGCACAGCCTTTACTTGAGACATTATCTAGAAAGCATGTCTCTTCAGAAAGGGAAGCACCCAAGAAGATGCCATAATGCTCAAACTAACTCAGCTTCTCTACCAACTTCCTAAAAGAATTCACTCATTAAAAACAAACTTTCCTTAAGATAGAAATGAAATAACTGATGAATGACTGCCAAACCTGTGGCTTCAATATCCTATCTGCAGCACAACTGTGATCCACTGACATTCACTCTACAAACTTTCGTGGTGTTTCTACTGAGTGCCAGGCCCTATTCAGACACTAGTCCAGAAAGAGAGCAACTATCATTTAACATTTCCTCTTTATCTCCAGTCGTTTTGTCTGGAGGAAGACTTCTGCTGACAAGGACCCCCAACTGTTAGTGTACTCCAGATTCCTCAGGGGCCCCTTAGTTCTCCATATTCATTTATTCAGCCCACAAAGTGCATACTAGAAAACTAACCAGACTGCTGGTCGCTCTCTTCAAAGAACTTATAGTTTATTAAGGGGAGGGGATGAGAGGAGGACATCAATAACTAAACCTAAGGCTGGCAATCAGAGGCACTGATAAGGTTATAAACCTTTACATTCTCCCTGCCCCCAAACCCAGAGTCCTAATCTAGACTGGCCTGAGTTTGTTCTCACCACCCCCACTCATCCTTCTTAGAAAAAGTAGGCCACGTGGCTTCAGCAGTTTCTCAATAATGGACATTTCTTCTCCTAACTCCAACTTGGTCCCTTGGTCAAATTCGGGCCCTTCTTTCACCTCCAAACCTTCTATGACAGCATTTTAGCCAGAAAGCCATTTTAAACAGATTTGGGTTCTAAGGAGCTGTGGGAGAAAGCAGGGACTCATTTCCTCATTTTAAAATTCTACAAATCTTGGGCGGTTGGGAGTTGAGCCACAGGAAACATGAGATAAGTCAAAACTTATAAAATGGCCATGGAGAACTCAGAATTCTTGGTGAATCTCAGGAAAACAGGATAGTTAGCTCTTTCTTGCTCCAGCTTTTGGTGTTTCTTAACTAGGGGTGATTTTGCCTCCCCAAAGGCATTTGGCAATGTCTGGAGATGTTTTAGGACGTCACAACTGAGAGATGCCCATAATGAGAAATTATCCAGCTCAAAATGTCAATAATGCTGAGGTTAAGGAACCTTTGTTTAAGAGCTGGCCACCTGCCATTATTATGATTCTTAAATTCCTCCAAATTCAGGGACAAGGAGAGTTCTAGCTTAAGACCTGTGGTTGAGTGAAAGGGTTATTATAGTCTCTTTGCTTTATGGGTTTTATTTACTCATTTCTTTAAGGCTAAGGATGGGTTTTCTTTCCCATTTATCCATTGCTGGCATCGGACACTGAGTGTTTGACAAGGAGCATAAGAGTAGTGAACAGTGTGTTGGGAACCAAATAGCCACAACCTTGGAAGGGAAGAAAATGTTTAATTGCTTTCTCCCTCTTTCTTCTTTCCTTAGGAAAGGGGATCCCTGATTCCCTCCCCTGGCAGATACTATCTTAGGACAATTATCCTTCTCACCACCGACACAGCAACTCCAAGGTGCCCACCAGCAGCAGCCAAAGGGGAGGTTTTCTTGTTAAAGAGAAATGTCTTACTCTCTCGCCAACTTTGGGCACACTCTCCTCCCCCAGGACAATTTTTAAGGGTTGTCCTACGTCTACCTAATTCTTCTACATTAGATCCCCAGGGAGATATTTCAAATTTCTCGAGTGCAAGAGCTGGGATCACTAGTCTAATTGCTGCAATAGGGGTTGAGGATCAACCTAAGCCCCAGCAGCATGCTGTCTAAAGACAGAGCTGCCAGGTAAGGCTCAGGGAATTTCCACCATTGTCCTCTGTGACTGTTGGTGGGGGTGTTAGGGAGACAAACTCTTGATTCCTTATCCCAGCTCAACTTTCTCTTGATAACTTATTCAACTGTGGAATGTCCCTGGACATTCCAAGACCCCGAAGTCCAGATTATCTCCTAGCTAACCCATCTGGAACAGCGTAGTGTGGGCTCCACTCCCCAGACCTGAAGATCCTCCTTTCCTTTATGCCATCCAGTATTTCCCAGCTGCTTTAGATCCTAATAGTAGGTGGGCTGAGGCACAGATTCATTTGCTCAGGAAACCCTTTCTTGGGAGTTGGATATCACCAAAGAACCCCAGAGGGACTACATTCCCCTCTGCCTTTCCTATTTAGCAACCTTTGGAAGGAAGGCAAGAAAATGTTGGGTCTGACTTATTCCAAACCTCCCAAAGTTGGGGAAGCTGTCTCCAGACCAGGAGAGATTTTAATCTCTTTGTGATCAGATAAATGGGAGAGTGGGGGAGCTGGCCACCCTGCTGAGGAGGGCCATTCAAAGCTGGTTCCTGTAATAAAGTGATTTAATAGATCTGAAGAGGCCAATTCCCCTCTTTCTGCCACAATTACTTCCTGTGGGTTATCATTCACATATGTAAATGAGACAGAGAGGGGGTGAAAGCCACCAGCCAGAATTAGGTGTCTGATGGGAAGGAGGTAAAGGAGGGGATTGGGCGAAGCAAGGTGATAGCCAAGCATCCTGCTGCAGACCTTTCTGGCAGATGTACTGGTAGCCCAGTGACCCCAACATTAACTGGTGGGTCCCTATCTCCCTGCATCCTCTATCTCTCTTGTTCCCCCTATTCTGTGTCCTCACTGAGGGCCATGCTCAGAGACTTCCTTGCTGCCTCCAACCAGTCCACCCAGCATCTCCCTTCTCCACCCCTCCCCCTCCAGAATACCATCCCTCAGGCTCCAACCCTTAATCCCCACATCCTCCTTTCCCCTCCCCCACAGCTCCTAAAGCCAACCTCCCCGAAGTAACCCCTCCATGCCCGGCCTGGGTGTCAGCCTACTGGGTCTGGGGTTAGCAATTTCTTCTTAGGTCCTACTCCAAACCTCTAAAGGTGGAGGGAACACATGCCACAACTTCCTTTACATGGTTGTTTTGTGTGGCTGGTGTCCCAGGACCCCAGAAACACTTATAAGATATTCAGGAAAGGGTGGCCACGGAGGAGGAGGGAAACCTGAAGTCTCTGGTTCCTTGTTTGAGGCTGGGACTGTTAGGACAGCAGTCAATGGCTGTCTGGGGCCATAAATGCCAAGCTGAGGAGAACAGGTCCAGGAGCTAGCCTCCCTCCACCCCCTGCCCTGCGACACTGAATTTCACCCCCACTGTGCTGCCTTGCTTTAACTGAGAACTTGGGGTTGTGACCTAACTCCCTCCCAGCCTGGCCCAGGAATCTAAGGCCTGGATTCTTTGAGTTTTCTTTCCTGATAGGAAATGGACAACTAAAGCCCAGCTGGTCAACTGTGTGCCTGAGAGGTGTCCTCTTGGGGAGTTTTCAGGCCCCCAAATTCTTTTAAGGATCTGCCAAATTCACCCAGGCCTCAGAGGTTGAGTTTTGGGTGACCACCTGGGTGAAGAGACCCTGCTAACTTCTCAGCTTTACCCCGTTGGATCCCAGAGTGGTCTCCCTCCCTCTCTCCAGGAGAGAAGCTCAATTCACTGGTTAGTGAAAGGCGCGGATGCTCAGGGCCGTGTTCCAGCCGGGCATGTGCTTCCCTGGCCGGCCTCCTCGCCCTCCCCCCACCGGCAAGCACAATACAACCTTAGTTCTGCCACATGGGGTCACCTCCCTGCCCCCTGCCCAGGGGAAAGAGGTAACAGACACGTGGTAAGCCAGCGGGTTCCTGGAAGGCGATGGGGGTGCTGATAATCGGCTCTGCCCCCAACTCTTGTTCCGTTGAAGTTAACGGGGATTTGGAACTGGTGTGCCACGGCAAACATGGGAACGCACAATGAGGACCCTTGATATGCCTCAATGCAACAGCCGAATCCTTCCGCCCACCCTTGGATGCGCCCGCCAATATCCCCTTACCCAGGCAAAGTTACCAGATTCGGTCTCACCTGGTGCACAAATACATCCACCGGGGGGTCGAGTGCGACCCCGGCACGGGCGGTCATGGACAGGAAGCCGAAACCCATGCGCACGTTGAACCACTTACAGATGCCGGCACCGTGCAGCAGCTGCGGCTCCTCGGCCGCCCGGGCCGCGTCCTCCGGCGCCTCCTCCGGCGCCTTGGCGCAGCCACCTGGAGATTGGGAGGGCGCTCAGCTGGGGGTGGGGGGCCACGGAATTGGAGGACCCTATCAGAGACCCAGCAGGGAGACCCGAGTGTCTAGCCCGTGAGTGGACACCCAGGAGGCTACAGCTACCAAGGAGCCGGCGAGAAAATACCTGTCCCGGCCTCCTCCCGCGTTCCCCAAGCTTACACTGAGGCCAGTGGTGCCCCGAAAGTTTTGCTCATCTTCCCACAACACGTTGCCCGGGGACAGACGGCCGGACAGGCCCCTCCTCTTCTCTCCCTCCGCCCCCGTAGCCTCGGCTTGCACGCCTCTGGGACACCAGGGTTCCTTGCTCCAGAGGTGGCCCCCTGAAGCTGGAGGCCGCACAGACTTAGGGTCCTTCGGCTAGTCTGGGGGACAGTTCCCCTTCTCCCTTTTATGTGGCTTCCGGGCGTCCCTGCAGCCCAAGGTGTCCCTAGTAAGTCCCGAGGTCGAACCTGCAAACTGCTGGTTTGACACAGAGCCCATGGTAGTCGGCTGAGCCCGCGGCCCCGGGCCCCTGGTCCGGCGGCTGCTGGCCCCAGAGAAGTCCGAAGGCAAAGGGGTGGCTCGAAGAAGAGGCTGCTACATCTTCCCCAGCACAATAGCGGTGGGAGGGCCCACGGCTTTTCAAAGGCTCCCAAATTCTAAAAGACAATGACCCAACCCCCCGCGGGCAGCCCCCCTCCCCTCCCCTCCCTCTTCTTTCCCCTCCCTTTCCCTCCGGCTCCAGCTCTGGCCCTCCCCCACCGCCGCGGTCTCTGACACCTCTGGGGTGTCCCTTCTCAGAACCTTGAGGCTTGACACCCCCTCCCCACACACACATCTGGAAATGGGGGCCGTCAGCCCTAGAAGTCTTGAGTACCCGGGAATTTGGGATCCTGCACTTTAAGGACTCAGTGGGGGTCCCCAAAGCAGCATACATGTGGGGGGGCCTGTGGGGGGGTAGTTTTAAAGCCACGTGACTGCTCCCACACACACTCACACACCACCCCCACCCCCCGTGCTGATAATTATACATTCCAGAGAGTTGGGGGAGGGAGGTGTGAGCCTGGCAGAGCTGGCCAATCAGAGACACAAACCACCTGTCAAGGGAGAAATGGATGAGCCCTCCCCCTCCTCCAGCCCTTGAGCGCCCCTCCCCCTCCCTTCCCCTTCAGGCCTCCGAACTGACCCGGCAGCTCGGCGCTGACCCGCTCTCACCCCCCACCTCCTTGTGCTTAGATAGACCTGGAGTTTAGGACACTAGGAAGCCTAGGGTGGGGTAGCAGAGGGGAGGCTGGAGACCCAGCAGGGCTGATCTCCGGTCCTGACCTAGGCGCTGCCTTTCAAAAGTCTTTCTCTGACTAACTGAATCTGTACCTCCCTGAGTTTCCGACTGAGTTTTTTTGGATCTCTCAAAGCTCTCCTAATTGACTTTGCATACAGAATCCTTCCTTGTTTCCTTCCAAATATGTGTCTAAAACTGACCCCACGTGGAGCTCCCTGAGAGAACAGAAGGAACCCTAAGAGGCTTGAAGTGTGCTCCTCTTTCCGCCAACTGCCTTCATCCCCCATTCCTATCTCTTATCCGTTGCTGGGAGAGGAACTAGGTGGTTAGGTGGGTGGAGGCATTTACTCCAGTACCCTGACACTCAGGTTCCTAGACCCTCCTCTTTTCAGAGTCCCATCCTAAAGTGCGCTCCCTTCCCCATACCGAGGTTGGTGGGGGGACTGGAGTAGAGGATCTCCTCATTTGAAGACGTACCCTCCCCTTCTAGAAGATAAAGGGGGTTGGCCAGGGGGGTGGCTAGTGCCCTGGTCGGAGATGGACAATGGTCCGGGCTCAGTGCACGGCCCTGGCCCTGCCCCTTCACTTCCGGTGCTCAGTTCAAACTGGACAATGCCAGCTCCGGCCAGTTCCCCTCCCCCACTGCTACAACCCATTTAAAGGGACAGAGCCTGCTTTCAGGGGCATCCGCTCACTCTGAATTCAATCTTCTCCACCAAATGTGCAGAACCTCTCGTGGCTCTTACCCTACGCCCGTGTGTGTGTGCTTGTGTGTGTGCGCGCTCGCGCGCATATTTGAGAAAGAGAGAAAGGGGATGAGTTGGGGTAGGGAAGTAGAAGATGAGGAGAGCAAGGAGCTGAGGAGAGAGTATTTCTCTTTCCTACTTGGAGTGCTCTCCAAGAGACTAAAACTTGAATAATAAGAGATGGAGGATAGGACTTTGGGTGATAAAAAGGACAACTATGACCCTTTGTTACTCAGCCTAAAAAATAAAAATAATTTACAAATGTCATTAACAATGCCCCACTCCCAAGTGAGGACCCTAATTTAAATCTTCCAAGAGTTATGCGAGTACATCAGCCAGTCATTTTTATTTATATAATCCTCCCCACCTAACAGTCTTATCTCCTTCCGTTACTAGCGCCCTTAAAATTTACTCATTCTCTGTATCTCTATTCCTGAGATTCAGGAACAGGTGATTGAGGTGTGGCTGAAGAAAAGAGAGAGTAAGGGAATTTAGCGCTCTGCTTTCTCTCGCTCTGCTCTCAAGTGGGACTTGCTCCCGGCAGGAGCAACCAGCCCCTCTGTCCATGGTCCTGAGGGTTCCGGGAGCTCTGTCCACGGTGCTGAATAAAGCCACGTTCTCCTGGTTCCCAACTCCCAGCTTCGAGAATGCCTTCCTGAGTTCTCACCTCCAAGTCCTTCCCAGCAAACCTGGTTATTCTTAACCCCTCAGTGACCTTGACACATTTTAGAGGAATGAAGAGACTTTCTTGAACTCTAAAAAGAGGGTATTTCCAGCAGTACATGATTCTGTGAGCATAGTGAAGTATCTCAATCTCCCCTTCAGAATAATGGGTATAGTTATGTATGTAGCCACAGAGCGTGAGGAAAGAGGAGATAATATTTTCTGATTCATTTATAATGAGACTAGAAGAGAGGCTAGTCTCTGTTTTCAAATTATTTCTCTAATTATTAGCACTTTCCATAGGAGCACAGGTATTGGAATCCCATTGTCCATGTTTGAATAGCTATTTACAACTCTGAGATCTGGGGCAACTTCTTTAACCTCACTATACCTCAGTTTCCTCCTCTGCCCAATAGGGACAGTGAGATTTAGCAGAGTTATTATGAAGATAAAGTTAAATCATGTAAGTGAAGCTTTAAAAAAAGTTGACATATACTTAGTTCTTAATAATGTAAATTATTACTGTTAATATAGCTATTGTGCACTTGCTTGTCTCTATGATCTAGAACATGCTAGATCATTTGCTCCCTGAGAACTTGGCCATTCATGTCTTTCTGCATCTTTTCTCGTATCCTTACTGGTGCTTAGCACAGTCCCTGGCCCACAGAAGTCATCCAAGAAGAGTTCCCTGAATAGAATATTTGATTGAAAAAAGGAATGTTATTACAATAGTCATAATGCTTATTCTTCTCAGCTGTCTCTCTCAAGTCTAAAGAATACAAACCCAGCAGGGGTCAGGACTTCATAAAGTTGCATATGTGGAGGCAGAGCATGCTTTAGGAAGGGACACATGACTTCAAGCATAACTGATTTCTCATCCCCAGTGGTTTGTTCATGTAGGAGATGGTTACCCTTGACTAAATTTTCTTCGTTCATTGGTCCCCGTCTCAGTGGAAACTTTTTAGGTATCTACTATGATCCAGTCACTGTGCTACCTCACAAGTTTAGTGGAGGAATCAGTTAAGTAATATGCACTAAGTACCGTAATGACCATAAGCGTACCAACGAAAATGTAAAGAAGAAACATTTCCTTCCTTCCAAGAAGTTACAGTCTAGTGAGGGAGACAAGACCTGATATAGCTAAGTATTGCATATTTTCTGTGTATTGGTTTCTGGGAATAATATTATCTAGGAAAATAAATCCAGAGGGCTCTTTAGATAATAGTGTCTAGTATCAACACAAAGAACATCTACCCTTTAAATTACTTTGCTAAGTTCCTCTTGTGTAGGTTTGTATCCTCACAAAAGGAAGAGTTGAAAGAGTAATAGTAATAATAACTCATTAACATTAAAAAATATATTTATTCAGCACTTCCTCTGTGGCAGGCATTGTTCTAAGTGTTAGGAATAAGCAATACAAAAAAAATTTCCACCTTTGTGGAGCTTATATTCTGATAAGTAATACTAATAACAGCTATTATTTATCAAGAATACAATTTTCTTATCTCATTCAAGCCTGCCAATAATTCTGAGTAATAGATATTAATATTCCCACCTTACAGGAGAAGAAACTGAAGCTTAATGAACCAATATAGCTTGGCTAATGTAGCTCAGCTACTACAAGGCAGAGGCATATTTGAACCCACATGTTTGACTCCAAAGCTCACATTCTTTCCACAGTCCTAGTATGTTGTTATCATAAGTGGTACTGTCCCCATTTTACCAATGAGGAACAAAATATGTGCAAGCAAAGGACTGTGGGGAGAGACTATATAGTCAATATGATTAGTAAATAGAACCAAGCTTGTGATTCCTTCTCCCTGGGTCAGAGCTCTAGTCTGTTGTTTCTATCGATCACCTGCCCCAATCTCCTTGGCTTTCTAAATCAAAGAGATGGCCAGAGCCAAAACAGGTCCTCTTTGGAGCAATCATCCACATCCAGCTCTTAATTCTGAGGTATTTTAAGAACACTGTGGTGGGGTCCAGGGTGGTTGTTTGGAATTAAAGCCTTGACCATCTGCTAATATGAATGATGGTATGCATTTGAGGAAAGTATTTTCCACGATGTGTCCCTCAGGATACTAGTCCTATGGGATGATTAATAATCTTACCATTTTAAAACATTTTCTATAATGAAATCGTTTGGAAAATGGTATGTTAACTACGTTTCCTTTGCAGGACTTTGTAAAGCCTGTAATATGGTAATGTGCCCTGTGATTTATCAGAAAGGGAATATGATGTGTGCAGTGTTTCCATTCATTCATCTGTTCATTCATTAAGTCACCTAACAAACATTTATTGAGCATCTATTATGCATCAGGTGGCACTGTTTGAAGCACTGGGGATACATCAGAGAACAAAACAGATGAAGTTCCAGTGCTCAAAGAACTTATATTCTAGAGGAGAGGGACACATAATAAACAAATAATTAAGTAAAATGTGTGGTACATATAGTTCCAGCCTGTTAACTTGCTCTGTGATCTCAGAAAGGCACCCAGTTTTAACCTTTAAGGTAAAATGAGGAAGTTGGATTAGTTATTAGACAAATACGTATTCCATTTCTGACATTCTAAAGTGATATGATGTGTGTGTGTGTGTGTGAGAGAGAGAGAGACAGAGAGACCCTATTCCTAATTAGGTTGAGAAACAATCTGTTTTCACCCCATGCTGTCATCTTCATCCCTCTCCAAGGACTAGGGCTTCCTACATCAAGCAGGATTGTGCACCTCTCATCTCTTAGGCCTGTTGAACTGGCAGAAAGAAGATGAGCCAAGGGAGTCCCCTTCCTTCTTTCAGTCCTGCTCCCCATGTGGGCCTTGCTTCACAGAGCAAGACGCCAGGCACTTGCTTTCACCAATAATGGCTTCATTACATTGAAAGGA